CCCCAAAACCCCAAAACCCCAAAACCCCTTTCCTTCGTCAAAACATTGAATCCGACTATTCGATAAACCGTCTATCAGTCTGGATATCTTCAGAATATACTTCAGCCGTCTTGGAAGGATCAAATTGGCATTTATTGACCTAAAATGAGGGATATAGTCTTAGTGGAGTGTATTAAGAGAGTAAGATATGTGGCTTATCTTTTAAGCAGATAGATGTCGAATGGGTTCACTTCAGTATCTTTCCATGCAGAGATCCCACACATGTTAGTCCTCTTCTTCTGTGTGCCTTTTAGTATTCTCTTTAGTCTTTGAGATTTAAGGTCCTTTACCAAACTTCTGCTGTTTGCTTTATTTACTAAGTTTCGTGAAGGCAATCTAGTCATCTTTTGACCATTAAGAAGGAAGGCCTGATTAGAGTATCTTATGAGTAGTTCTCCTGATCGATTAAAAGATACTAGATCTGAAACATTAGGGTACTACTTACTTCTGAAATTTATTACAAGAGTATTCATCTTTAGCACATTTTAGGCAAGTTGAAGCTGGAGTTATCAAGGAGGCTTACTGAAAGAAGTAACTGGAGTCGCAATATGTGGTGCTGGTGATAGCTGTCTTGGTTTCTCTACTATAATCTCTCCTCCTCTATTTTTGTATCATACGTTTTTGGGAATTCTTAGAGGAGTTTGAGTATTTAATAGATTCTTAATTTTTTCATTTTAGCTACTTTTTATTCTGGGATTAAAGGAACCTTCTTCGTTATTTTAGAAGATTTCTTGACACCCTCATTTATCTTTTGTAGTAAAAGACTATTTTTAAGACTTAGTTGTGGCGATTCTATATATCAAATTAATCCCTAAATCACCGCCGGCTACTTCAACATATGACAAACTTACCGATCTTTTTAGTTTTGGCCAAAGTGTGGTTCTTTAAAGGAAAATTAGCCAATGTAGGGCTATTATTTCTGTTAGGACTTAAGCTCACAAACTTTCTCAAACTTTTCTCAATGCTGGGATAATCCCTATGATTATATTTCGTTGCAGAGTTGTTCTATAGATCTGGCTTTATGGTAATATGGAGTTCATTGAAGCCTTTACGTGTGTGATGAAGCAAGCCTGTATTTTTATTTATTATTTCGAGAAGTAAGCACATATTTTGGAATAACTGGGATATAAGCTCTTTTCTTATCCTTTTGGTCGTATTGTTGCATGCCTTCTAAGATTTCAGAGATCTTGTTCTTCATCAAAATTTTCTCTTTGAATATAAGCATGATTACATGAGGGCGAAGATTAAATTATTTTTGGGCTCATTTATATTTCGAGAGGGTTCAGAGAAACTTTCCTTTGTCTTAAAAGAAGATATTAACAATTTGATAAATGTTTATTCTAATAAAATAGCTAAGTCTTATTGAATTTCAAATCCAATTTGGGGTTTATTAATAAATTATTAATTCTCTCCTCATACTGTTTCCCAAGTTTTACTCTCCCACCACAAACCTACTTCTTCCAAACTCTCCATCGTAACTCTATCTCTCTTCATCCCCTAAAATGCCCCATCAAACCCACCTTCCTCAAAACCCCCCAATCCTTCCTTCATCTCCCTTCCTTTACCCTTAACCACCCAATTTGTCCCTCAAATTCCCAAAAATCCCTTAAATTTTCCAAAAACTCTACTAAATTTACTATTTTTTTTCAAAATTGTTCTATTTTGTGAAAATATTATGGGGTTTTGGGGTTTTGGGGTTTTGGGGTTTTGGGG